TGAAAAGTTAACGACAAATGTGAAATGAAAATGTGAAAAGTTAACGACAACGCCAACGACAACGACGACAGACAACGCCAACGACAACGACGACAGACAACGGACAAATTTCGATCAGAAAAGCTCACTTGAGCCTTCGGCTCAGGTGACCTAAAAATGTGACTCATCATGGCTTTGCTGTTCTTGAGAAGAAGATGTTTAAGGATTTTTTCTATATATTTCTATGTAAAACTTTGATCCTTCATTGTGGCCCCGCCCTACCCCTGGGGGTCATGATTTGAACAAACTTGAATCTACACTATCTGAGGATGCTTCCATATAAATCTAACTCATCATTGCTTTGCTGTTCTTGAGAAGAAGATTTTTAAAGATTTTTCCTACATATTTCTACGTAAAACTTTGACCTCCATTGTGGCCCCGTCCTACCCCCGGGGGTCATGATTTGAACAAACTTGAATCTACACTATCTGAGAATCCTTTCACATGAGTTTCATCTTTCTTGGCCCTGTGGTTGTTGAGAAGAAGATTTTTAAAAGATGCTATTAATTTTTCACTAATTCTTAATTATCTCCCCTTGAAAGAGGGTGTGGCCCTTCATTTGAACAAACTTGAATCCCCTTCCCCCAAGGATGCTTTGTGACAAGTTTGGTTGAAATTGGCCCAGTGGTTCTCGAGAAGAAGTCGAAAATGTAAAAAGTTTACAGACAGACGGACATACAGACAGACAGACGGACTACAGATAAAATGTGATCAGAAAAGCTCACTTGAGCTTTCAGCTCAGGTGAGCTAAAAATTGGCGATGTAACTCTCCTGTAAGGGAGATAAGAGAAGAATTTGTTTGTGGCAAGTACATGATCATTAAATTACAGTACTATCAATGAAATGAAAATTTTCCAAAACGTTCAAAAGCTAGAGCAGTGGCGTATTTTCCATATAGGCTAAAAGGCTGCAGCCTACACATCATTTTCTCAAGTTGTAAAAATTAAAATATGTATACTACAGTATGGTTGAAGAGGGGGGGGAGAGAGAGAGAGAGAGAGAGAGAGAGAGAGAGATGATCAGAAAACGTGTACTTTTTTTAGGACGTCAAAGGCGAATAAAAATATTCTTAGCAAGATGCATTTTACAATATCTAATACTGAAATAAAATTGTCTACGGGATATATTTTTGTATTACTTGTATAAGGAAAACATATCAAAAACAAAGGTATTGTTTAAAATTACATTATTAAAAAAAAACTTTCTTTATTACGGAAGCACTGTAAAGGGTAAAATTGTATAGAGGTAAAATTTCTTAAGCGGTAATGAAGATTCTATTTTCATTATTGCTAAAAATATTTTTATACTTAATACTTTTTATATCTTTATATTCACTGGTCAAAAGACAACCATGTTTTTTTAAAGTTCGATTAAAATATTCCAGGTAAACGCCGAAGTTTTCCCTCCATTTTATTTGATACTTAGACCAGAAAACATGTAAATATCAGGGATAGACATTAAGTTTCAGATCCACTTACCCTTCAGGCAAGTGATCTTAGACTTTGACTTGTCCGAATGCTAAACTTGGTTGCCCAAAATTAGGAAAGAAATTAAGAGGAAAATTATTAATTTCTGTAGACGTAATGATCAGAAAAAATGTGACCAAATACACAACTGTCAATTTGGCAAGTTGAGCTACCTGAAAAAAAAATTTCGATGCTGTATTTGTACATAAATGTATACCGCTGTACTTGTAAAATTTAACCTGTTAACACGTACTGCCATGCAGCATTAACTTTCCATTTCCTTTTAATAAAATTCATATTTTAAAAAAAAAATATTTTCGGTAGGATCCTTTTGTGATTCGTGATTTTCAGAGATAACTGTGAAGCAACGCTTAAGGAAGATAGTTGCTACGAAACACATCTTATCTTGATCAGGATACATTGTGTTATACTGTACTTATATATTCTGTGCGTAAATAAATAATCTAATTTACTAATAAGAAGTTAATAAAATTTTGTTAGACATAGCATATTTATTACGAAAGAAAATAACGAACCCGATTTTTAAATGAACGGTATAATCCATAAACGCTTCCAGGGAATTTCAAATGCAAAAACATTGTCAGTCAGGTGCGTGATGGAAATCAAGTTTCAATTTATTCTTTTATTTATTAATTAATGTAAACTAAATCAATATGTACATCATTAAAATGTATGAGAACAATTCACTTGCCCGATCGGACAAGTACGTCGACAATTTCACCTGCCCAAACTGAGAATTTGCTTGTCCCGGGCAATCGGACAACCATTAATGTCGATCCCTGTAATATACATAATTTATATTATAAGCGAACCCAAATATACCTGTAACTTTCATTTTCACTATATAATATCATGCCATTTTGTTCTTTTTCCTGATTTTTTTTTCTTGGTGGGTGACCACCCCCTTAAGATAACCCTTCTCGTACTAGCACTTTGCGCCTGTTTTTCGGCTCCACATTAGCCTACACATGAACAGAAAGGAATATACGCCACTGTAGAGTATGGGAATTTTTGTAGCTTACATTTACTAAGATTTATTCTTAAAGAAAAGTGGAAAAATTACCTATGACAGATATTTCATTTATACTTTTTTGTCCCCTCCTTTCACTGAAAGTGGGGGATTTTAATTTCGGTCTGTCTGTCCGTCTAGCTGTCCGTCTTTCTGTAACACTTTCGTTTTCCGAGCGATATCTCGAGAAGCTTTTGAGCTTTTTCATGAAATTTTACACAACAACCCCCGATGGCCTAAGGAAGAACCCTATTGATTTTGAGGTCAAAAGGTCAAGGTCATAAATTCTGTCTGATTTTTTTTACACTTTCGTGTCAACCCGATATCTATTTCGAGAATCCTTTGAGCTTTTGAAATGAAATTTTATACCATAATTCCCTGTGGCCTAAAAAGAACCCCTATTTATTTTGAGGTCAAAGGTCAAGGTCGTTAACTCATACATTCTGTTTATGTGTTAAACTTTCATTTCGGGCAATATCTCAAGAAGCTTTTGAGTTTATGCAATTAAATTTCATACCATATCTACCTATGGCTCCACCCGCCCTTCTTTAAGTGTATGCCACCCCCTCCCCCCCCCCCCGCCCCCTAGATTTCCGCATGCCCTTCTTTTTTTCCTTAAGCGGAGGACACAGATTCTCTGAATTGGCTAGTTTTCAATGAATTTGGATAGACTTAAGTGTTTCTAACAAATATTTTGTGAAGACAAAGTTTCCTGTTATAAAGCATGTTTGAATGCTATGATGTCGTTGTCTTACTTTTTAACATTTTTTTTTTATTTTAGTAATTGTTTTCAAAAACTTGAACAAGAACATTTATTATTTATGGAATTTATATTTATATACTAAACACTGGTATTTTAATTTCTGTATCACGATACGTATTTCATAATCACATTCCGGTTTACGGAAATAATCCCTCATCAACCCTCCCCCCCCCCCTTTAATTAAAAAAATGGATCCCTTTTTCAGGTAAGTTGAATTTTAAGGAAAAAAATGGATCCCTTTTTCAGGTAAGTTGAATTTTTTTTCTCTGGCTGCCCCCCCCCCCTTTCAAAAACGATGCTATGTCACTGTGCTGGGGGGAGTAAAATGTTAAGGGAGAATTCCATATTCATGGAAAAATTACTTAGGATGGTTGATATTTAGGGGAGGGGGGGGGGGCTCAGTGACCATATTTAAGCTTTTAGAGATGTTCATTCTCAAGAAACTTATTGTGACCAACGTTGCATGATCGATACATCTAAGGATATAGTCTACGCTGAGTAAAATAACGCAAGGTTCCCTGTTTAGTGTACACTTAATTATCAATGTCAAAAAATTATCCCTCACCATCCCCAGGCGCGTAGCTGCCTACACGCGAGTGCGTACACATCATTTTTCAAACAAACGACTAGGGGAGAGAGAGAGAGAGAGGTTCAAAGAAAATATCTCCTAACCATCCAACAAGTATTCGTATTTCGAAATAAATTTTGTGTAAAACTGTTCCGATTTCAATTTATATTATTATGATTGTATAATAAAATAATAAATCATTGCTCAATCCCAATACACTATTTATTAATTTGTAATTGTTCTTTAATACATTGATATTGTTTTGAAAAGATTATGAGATCAAACACATCGCTGAATGCTATGATCTACTATATACCTATTATATGTATATATGTTTTATATGTTTATGTACTTCATGTACCATTTACATGGTTTTTGAGTGAATAAATTGAATTGAATTGAATTGAACTAGTATATAATTTAGAATACAATATTTTTTGTTTAATAATTAACATTTAGTATACCCGCTTTTGAACCTGTATATGATATCAATATATCGTTTAAATATTAAGCCTAAACTTCATGTACGATAAGTTTCCATGGAAATTTTAAAGTTTGTGTTAAAATAATTAATATTACTACGAGTATGTCTGTTATTTTGTTAACACAATCTATTTGGCATAATTTTTATTTTGCAAAAAAAAAAAAAAAAAAAAAAATGAATGAAATATTTGGTAAAACTCAGGAGCTTCTGGGCACTCATCGGCAGTTTAGGGGGGCCAGGGGATGCCCCCCCCCACTTATTTCAAAACCTAACCTTTCCCCATTGAAAATGTTCATTGAAAGGGTGACCCCCCCCCCCTTTTGTTGAAGCGTAGTTAAACTATGGAAATTCGGGAAAGTATTAATAAAATTTTAATTTGTGAAAGTTAGAACCTACCCTTAACCCCTGCCGTTCTCTGCGTACACTTCACTTCCATTCTGGCTACGCGCCTGATCCCCCACCGTAAGGAAAATAAAGTTGGTCAGTATTTTGCAGAATAAAGTTTAGTTCCATGTTTAGTGTGCACTTTTTTGTTTTTATTTATCGAAGTCGCACAGCTAAAACTTATGTGCCCCAACTACTCCCCGTGAATACTGTAAAAAACCTAAAGGAAACTGAATAAAACATTTCAGTTATATTAATTTTCTTACTTGGTTTTCTGTAAGCTTTGTTGTCGATGATGTAAATGTCATTGTGTGGATGGAGGCCTATACAGGATCTCACGATGTTAGGTCTTGCGTCATACTCGTATCTCCAGAGCCACGTCACGTGATCTACACTGTCCTGTGATCTTCCTCTGTAATGTACAGCCTCCCCTTCTCTTCTTAGATCCATTAAAAATCCTTTTCTTTTATCTTCAGAGTCATTTATTATTTTGTTTGAAACATTCACTGTAGAAGAAGACGAATATTGTCACAGTGTCAAATTTATTAATTCAACTAAAATAAAATTAAGTATAAATATACATGAAGGTACATCTAATCTCCGAAGAAATCGATTTAAATGATTTAATCACCATTTACTAATTTAGTTCACAATATTTTCACATGTACATATATCTATAGGTTGTAGAAGCAGTGTACAAAACCTATGAAATAAATAAAATAGTCAATATCTAAGGATTCATATCATGAAATATTTAGAGTAATGCTGACTTTGTCTTATTTATAAATATATCAATCTGCAGAATTCAATTAATTACTTGAAACATTTTCTGAAATCTGAAAATAATTACATTACTTAACACTGACTTACATATCTGGTATATCTTATCATATATATCGGTATCCTCCATGATGACGTGAGTCAGTATGTTCATCTGTAGACGGTGTATCAGTAAGTAATCAGAACCAGCACCGATACCTATGATAATGATGCTGCTACAGACACACTTCTCTCCAGGTTTTATGTTGTATCTCTGTGATCTCAGGTATACACTGGCTGTGTCATAACTACTGTAAAGGAATGGTATATCACGGCCTATTGATGCTATCCTATACATTGTCTCATCCTTTGTGTCCTCCGTTATCTTGTCCTGATCTTCCCAAAGGTAATCACGTGACTTCAGTCTGTCCAGAGTCTGCTGTGCTTCCTCACTTGTTACAGGATTCTCTTCACGGCACACGTCCTGTCGTATCTTATTAAGCATGTCCAGCCACTCTGTGTCAGTGAAGTCAGGAGGACCGGAGTCAGAACACAGAAAACAATATAACACGGATTCCTCGTCATCAGTTAATGTGGAGAACTGATCTAGAATATAATGAGTAACTCAATATGAAATGATACATGTACATATATATAGTTTAAAGGCCCTAGATTATTTTATTGAAATTACTGAGTGAATACTTTTTGGGGGGTGGCTCTTATAACTCACCTCTTGTTTTTTACTTAGAATAAAATTAAGAGTTGCCTTAAAAAATTTTCTGGTGCTCAGAAAGTTGTACTATTGTAGAGGCCGGATTAAATTAAAAGTGTTTGAAATCACAAGTGAAGGCCAGTACAATTTATCAAACTGTTTAGATCTCTCTCAAGCAGTTAAATTGAATTAAAGATTTTTTTTGATAGAATAACTAATTGTTGCAGATTCGATGCATATATATCATCTAAAGAACGAGCTCCAGGTTAACAATCTTTTTTATGCAATATGGCAGAGTCCTTGCATTTAATTGTAAAAACGGAGTTTTCAGAAAATGAAGAGTGTGACTGGAAATCTCTACAACCCCAGCCCCCCTTTCCCCTTTCATCATTTTCATTTTGAAATTCAGATTTGTTAAACTGCCTCTTTTAATTATTGTCGGCTTTTCAGCATTGTAAAACACATCTACATCTATGTGCCTGTCAAAGGGGGGGGGGGGGGGTATATAAAACAGTGGCGTGTAGATTTTGAAAAGATCTCTAATACACACAAAAACTAACTTAGGGAATTTTTATATCCATTGATTAAGGTCGAGAGTTAATTCAGATAATATCCGGAAACAACTATTAAAAACTTGATATTCTGTATGATTTAAGGACTTTGAATTTGTTAAAACAATTTCTTCTCGAAATCACATGGACGGGTTTATTCATTAGACAGTATTAAATGAATGCCAAAGCCAGGTCATATTATTTATGAATATATGACCTTGTCTTTTCATCTTCTTAAATTAAAATCAATAGGGGTCTTCTTAAGTCATGTAATTGATGCGTTATGATAAAAAATATCTTTGCGAAAGCATAAAGACTTTTTTTTTTACTTTTACTTTTCATCCATATATGAACTTGTGACCTAGACCATTCATCTTTGGTCTCAAAATCAATAAAGGTCTTTCTTATTTAGAGGGAATCCTCACTTTATTTTTCATTGCAAATCTAAAAAAAAAACAAAACAGAAGTCTGACAAGACTGTAGTTCTACTGGTTTATACTTATAACGAAGGAAGAGAAAAGTAGCACTTGAATTTGAAACTTTTCAACAACAATAAATTTTAAAACAATGATCATTGGTTTGGTCTTTTTCTTTGCAAGATATATTGAAATCAGACCAGAACTGTAGGAGGAGTAGCATTTTGAAAATATTTCAAAGACTTTTCTGACTATTCTTAAAAACCATGGCAACACCGTTCATCGAAATTAAAAACCGACATTCAGAATTATGTATGTTAGTGTAGTCTACTTCTTTGCCAAGTTATATTTTGTCATCAGACCAAAACTTTAGGAGTAGCATTTTGAAAGTATTTCAAAGGCATTTCTATTTTTAGTAACTAGGCATCACCGTTCATTGAAATCAAAAACTGATATACAGAATTATGTATCTAAGTGTAGTCTACTCGTGTGCCAAGTTATATTGCAATCGGACCAAAACTGTAGGAGAAGTAGCATTTTGAAAAATTGTTTACAGACAGACAGACGGACGGACAGACAGCTAGACGGACGACGGACACCTTACTAACGCATAAGCTTTTCTGGTCTTCGACCAGGAGAGCTTAAAAAAGAACTAAATTCTGCAAAACCCGAATTTCATACCCCTTTCCTTTAATCTCAAAATAAGTAGATTCTTTGAGTCACGTGTACATTGTAAGATTTCATTACACGACTTATAGATATATCACCTGGAAATTTAACAGTTACAGAAGGACAGAGGAACGGACGGATAAACAGAAAGGTCCAGATCAATATATCAATCCCATTTCTTTTAGCTCAGAGTGGAACAAATAAATGTTTATTCTATGAAAAGCTTAATTAACAAAAAAAAAAAAATAATTATAGATATTTGAGTTAAAAGACATGAGAACAAAAATTCCGACGTCTGCAGCTTTGATCTTACTCAGACACCTACGTGTACATATTGTTTAACAGTGCAGGCCATTTCAGCTTTAGTCCATGGGCGGATCAAGAGGGGAGTCGGGAGGTTGAAGGTTGTCCTCCTTACCCCCGGAATTTGTGGAGTAATTTAATGTATAAAGTAAAGTAACTAAAAATGGCCTTGGATCCCCCTCCCCTAATAGAAACGCAGATCTTTATTAAATTTGTAGGAAAAGTCACAAATACGGAGGTACATTTAGGACACGTAATTATTTTTTTAAGATACCAGGAAAAATTTATCTCGAGAAAACGAGATATTATCTCGTGAAAACGAGATAAAATCTCGAGAAAACGACTTATTATCTCGTCAAAACGACATATTTTCTAGTTAAAACGACGTAATACCTCATGAAAACGACTTATCTCATGAAAACGACATAATATCTCGTGTAAACGAGACATTATCTCGTGAAAACGAGATATTATCTCGTGAAAACGAGATATCTCGTGAAAACGACTTATTATCTCCACTAGACAAAATGTCGTTTTCACGAGATAAAAAGTCGTTTTCACGAGATAAATTTTTCCTGGTATCTTAGAAAAATAATAACGTGTCCTTAATGTACAAAAGTACATAAGACCGCGGAACATTAGTAATATGCAGCTTACAGTGTACGTCATTTCCATCTGTTAGTGTCAAAACATTTGATGATAGGTAATGAACTGGGGGAGTACCATCCGGCGCGGGCGTCCGCATGAGAAACTAGCATTGGATTGAAATTCTACCTTGAAATCCAACTCAGATACGCTCGTAAGCACATTGATTCTGATTGATAAAGAGGACAAATGATTTCAGTTTCGCAGTAGCTTAAAGTATATATACAGAATTTTCTGCGCAGTGTTTTTTAAAAAAAAATTAAAGAGGACAAACTTTAGATTCTTGTTGGGGGAGGGGAGTAAAGATCTTGAAAATAAATAAGAAAGTTTTCGAGTTTTGACACATCCAACCAGGCACGTACGTAGTTTCAGGGAGACCGGGGGGGGGGGGGGCTACTCTTTTCCAAACTTATAACATTTTCCTATCGAAAATACTCAAGGAAAGGCTGGGTTTAGCTTATAGTAAAATCATGGTAAATTTGTATATTTTATTAAATTTCGTTATGAAAGGAAGTCATAACCCCCCCCCCTCTTCCCAAGCAAAAAAAAAAAAGAAAATGTTTTTCGAGTTTGGCCAATTTTCCTCTTTTTTATTGCTTCCAAAAGTTTTTTAGGGATAAGATGTATGGCTGGCCCCTCCACTTTTAAAAACGATACCACATGCCTGCACACATCCTCCACATGTTTCCTTGTCAAACTTTTTTTTCAGTGAACAAAAAATTAAATAATTTCGCTTATCATCCTAGAATCAAATAATGTACATGTATATTCTGGCATATTAAGGTACATGTATGAACATAATCTGACTCGACAAAATTTGTCAGCTCCACCCCACCCTCTAGATTTAAATGGCTGCCCCCATCATCTCAAGCCACGGTCCAGAGTTCGCTCACAGCTCTTTCCAGAAAGTAGTTCAACACCCTTACCCCCCAAAACATAAACAAATAAGTTTTTCACGTTTGAAAACTTGGGTGACCCCTTCCCCCCCCCCCCCCAAAAAAAAAAAAAATCCTGGATCCCAGCCTGTAATTGATACTGGTTTTAGTAATTCAAAAACCCTAGCTAGGTACAAGTGTATTGTCAACACTTTTCTGTTCTTTCGTACCATGTGAGGATCTGGTGGTTCGAAAGTGCTCCCGGTGTATTTCAGTCATTATATTTATAAAATAAATCAATAAAAATGACACTGAACCCTTCCCCGAGGAAACACCCATGACATGTGTGTCTTTGAAAGATTCCGAATGAATTACTGGATTTCTTTTAACGTTCTATATTAATTCTATACACTGCTAAAGCAACACAAGTAACTACAATAAAACTCGTTTACTACAAACACGGATATAGCGAAGTTTTTTGCAATCCCCGGCAAAATTCTTAACTATTCAATGTAAAATTTTACAGATATAACGAACTCGGATATAGCGAATGTATGGCTATAGCGAACTGATTTTGTGTCTCCTATAAGTTAAATATAACAAAATTTACATCTTTTATAAAGAAGTTTTAAAGATCTTATTTTTTAAAATATTGAACTGATAATAATTTTCTAAGTATAGATATCTGAAACTCAATTCATTCCAAAACTTTTGAACTCCACGATAAATTTCATAGTTTAAACTTCCCTTAATACATTTGATAGTCATGCTTGAAGGGAAAAAAAATGATATAACGAATTTCTATACATACTTTAACGAATTCGTTATAAGGATATAACGAATTACGGATTTGCAGGTCCCCAGAACTTCGCTATAACCGAGTTTTGCTGTATATAAATGTGATTGAATTATTAATACATGTATTTGTTTTATACTCTGATGGATATTAACATGTAGCTTTATCTATCAATGAAATGTAATCTTTGTTTCTGTATAATTGAAAAGCTATTTTAAAGAAGATGTTTAAAGCTCAGCAAATGCAATTATTTTCTTTTTCTAGATAAATGCTCACCTGAAATCTTTGTCTTCCACGCGTCGTAATGGCCCACGTAGGGTGAATCTACGAGAGAAAAAATACCAGAATTAGGCATTTCAATAGTCCAATTCATTCATTCATCTTTTATTTCCTCTATAAAGAGTGAACACATAAATAGCCATACGCCATATTATTTTTCACAGGGTTATTAAAAACCCTTCGTATTCGTTACACCTGACTGTTTTTTACCTGGGGCTCATAACCATATTCACCCCTACTAATGTGTTCGGAACCTTTTATTTTTCGGTGTTCTGCAAATTATAAAACTCGAGGAGTTCAGAGTAGCTCTGACAGTAGCTCTGGCGAGATTAAGCGAGACTACAACCGTTACGAGATAAGGTAAATTATTCACGAAAATGTGGCTAGGAAGTGACTTCCACGTGGAGACATGTTAAACAGAAAAGTTATGTTGCATTTCATTTTTCACCACTGTATAATATCTGTAGAAATGTATTTCAGTCTCTCTTTAATTCATTCAAGCTTCAGTAAGTATTAATTCCTAATGAAATTATTTTCTGCAGTTATGTATAAAAATTTATTTTTGAGCAAAAATACTTGCAATGAAACTGGGACTATTTTTTTGGCGTCAGATTAGCAAATGAGGTATCAATATGGCTTAAACTGAAAAATCAGCTGAATGAGTTGAATTGCATTGTGGGCTACTACGGATATTACAGGAATTTTACGCTTGGGAAAAACCCAAATCTACAGGCGATCGGAAAGGCACAATGAACTTTTTTTTTCATGCATTTCGTAGATGAAAAGTAATCTGTCCATTTTTATTTTACTATTCCCATGCTCACAATTACAAACATTTCATTTGTTAAATAAACGTGGAATTCTAGCTTTTCTCAAAGTCAGACTGTAAGGCGATTTAATCGCGTCTGTATTCCTTTGTTGTACTATCGGTGAATACAATTGTCAGGTGGGTTCGCTGGCCAAAAACACATGTGACCACGGGTATTGTCATGTAAAACGAAATCTGCTCGTTTTCCTTAACCTTGAAGTGCCGGTGTTCTGAACGTGACACAGACTACATATTATTATATTAATATTTCTAGTTAACAACGTAACAACAAATAGCAAACACCAGTGACATCTTTCATAGTTTCTAATCATTTAATTTTTTTTAACAGTTTTGGTTTTTTTAATTGGTTTTTGCAGTCCATTTAATATCGATCGTAGATTAACATGAACCACGTTTTCGAAGTAAAATGTAAACATGTAGTTGTCCAGTAAACGTTGCTATTCATTCAACGATTGGTCAATTGTTCGTGATAAGATCCTCTCTGCGCATTAATAACAATAGCAATATAAGGTAAACAAAGGTTTGTCACTGTAGAAGATATTACACATTTTTTTTTCTACCAGCGGATTGGGCGATTTTGGAAAAATTGTTACTACTGAGCTCAAATTTTCGCCGTAAATTATCACAAAAGCGAAGATATAACCCCCCCCCCCCCCCAGCCTTTTCTGTTTAAAATCAGGAACATCTCTCAGAAAGGTCTGGAAACACATTTTTCATAGGACATGTTTTTATACGAAAGCCTAGAAGGGTCAAATAAGAAAATTAAAAAAAAAAAATAAAAAGTCGTAATAACGAGATAAAAAGTCGTTTTTACGAGATAAAAAGTCGTTATTACGACTTAAGAAAGTCATTATTACTACTTAAGAAAGTCGTAATTACGAGATAAAAAGTCGTTATTACGACTTAAGAAAGTCGTAATAACGAGATAAAAACTCGTTTTACGACTTAAGAAAGTCGTAATAACGAGATAAAAAGTCGTTATTACGAGATAAAGAGTCGTAATTACGACTTAAGAAAGTCGTAATAACGAGATAAAAAGTCGCTATTACGACTTAAGAAAGTCGTAATAACGAGATAAAAAGTCGTTATTACGAGTTTCTCTTTATAAATAAGGAAATGACATTGTTCAGTTTATGATAATGAAAGATCTGTTTAAGCTGTATTTCAACCTTGGTTTATCCAATTCAGAAATTCTTGCATTTTTGGCTTAGCGCACCATGTTATTATCAGCATGTCAACTTTGAAACGTACTCTTCGACTCTTAAAGTTAAGAAGAAGAAAGGACTATAGCGATTTATTAGATGTTGCGATGTTCATCTGTAACGAGCAAAAAGCAGCTGGTAGATTGCATGGATACCGGTGGATGCATCTCAAATGCATACAGAATAAACTACTTGTTCCAAGAGATACTGTATATCAAATAATGAAGTTAATTGACCCAGAAGGATTAGCAGCACGAAAAAGAAACCGTCTAAAGAGGCGTCAGTATGTAAGTGAAGGACCGAACTTTGTCTGGCACATTGATTCATACGATAAATTAAAACCGTATGGAATAGCAATTAACGGCTGCATTGGTGGATTTTCAAGGAATGCCATATGGCTTGAAGCAAGTACAACTAACAGTGACCCCAAAGTCATAGCGTATTATTACATTCAGGCTGTTAAACGTAAAACAGGCTGTCCCAGACGGATTCGAGCAGATATGGGAACGGAGAATACTCATGTTGAACAAATGCAAGTTTTCCTCAGGCGAAACCACCAGGATGAGTTGTCTGGACAAAAGAGCTTCCTTTATGGGAAGAGCACACACAACCAAAGAAATGAGTGGTTCTGGGGATGTCTTAGAAAAAAGGTAGGACAGTTTTGGATGGATCTTTTCCAAGGGTTATCCATTGATATTGGAAATACATCATTCTGTGGCAGCTTCCTAGACAAAAGCATAGTGCAATTCTGTTTCACCAAGCTGATACAGGTATGGTTACGACGTTATCTATGTATTATATAAGCATTGATGGCATTCTATGAAAGAAGTTCTGACAGCTTTTTTTTCTCAGTAAAACTCGGGTTGGGAATGAAAATTCTTAGAAATCGTTCAGTAACAAATGTTAAGAGAATGATAAAAATGGGGGGGGGGGGGTTAATGATTCTTAAGATTCTGATTTAGAAATGTCCATAAAGTACTTCAGCATCAATTCCACTTCAGGAACTCTGCAACCTTAAAAGTCTGATCTGAAAATGTAATAATGACTTTACTTTGGGTCGGTGGACTGTAATCTTGACTTGACTTTATTGATATATGTGCATGTTAATAAGCATCTGTTCTTATAAATTAAATGTTGAAAAATTCTCTTTTTATCATGTCAAAATAATTTGCTTTCTTTTCGACTGCGAAATAAGTCGGTAGGTTATTCAAGTGGTGGTTACATAAAGAAATTGTAGAAATCAATTAAGGTTTTTATTTCATATATATACTGTGCAGTTATTTATTCTCTGACGACTCTTTTAATAGAACTAATAGACTTGGACATGCTGACAACGATGTGGAATACACATACCCTTTCGTCGAGCACAAACAAGCTACGAGAAGGAAATATATGGCACGCCGATTGCTTCAAAATTATTTTCTGCACGACCTTAAACAAAAATTACACGAGTAAGTAAAAACTTACACAAAGTGAGGAAAATATACACGAAGTTATTGAAATTTACACAAACTATTGAAAAACTGCACAATCAACAAAATATTTGCACGATATAGTGAGAAAATTACACAAACATAAAAACGAAAACTGCACGAGTGAGAATACAACATCGACATAATACGCAACGCATCCTTATTGCGCACATTTCATTAATATTCATTAGAAAACAGGTCAATGTGGCTTGGATGCTTGAAACACACTATAAATACAAAAGGAGGAGTAAAGTGTTAGTAATTTTTTCTAAAAAAGATTCTTTTAAAATTCCGCTAGACTCTCAAGAATATGTACAACATATATTATACATGTAGATAAATTGACAGGCACACAATCTTAAACTTGTAGTATATGAATACTCCCGAATAAAAAAACATTCTACAAAGAATACATGTATAGATAACGTTAAAAAAGGGGGGTGCATATTACAGTTGTGTGTTTAATTTTGGATTTTTTAGTAGGTCATTCCTCTATATAGCAATTTCTTTTGAAAGTTTAAAACAATGACATATAGGCCTAAATTAAAATAAATAAAAACAACATGTGATATAATTCAGGAGAGTTAACAACAAATCAACTCTTCTCCTCCACCACCCACTGAGTGTACTTTTGGTAATAATCAAGGATGTGCATGCGTGACCTTTTCATACAGAGATCCCTCCCTGCTGATTCTGGAACGAAAGACACCTGTACGCTAATCGATTTATAGCTATTTCACACACCAATAATACCTTTTGATTAAAGATTACTGGCAATTCAAACAAAGATTTTGAAACAATGTTGCGATCATCTGGGTTGTGGAATTTGACCGAAAACTTTTTGGAAGTCAACAGTAAAGAAAATCGAGCAAATAATTGCGCAACTGAAATTTTAATATTGAAACGCATATCTCACTTTTTGATATATGTATGTAACAAAGTAGTACATGTAGTCTTAACTTTTGACCAACGTGTGGTGACTTCATAAAACTCCATGAAACTGTAGAAAAATTATACAGTCGTTTCACTTATGTGAATTAAAGCTTAATTTTATGTTGTTTTTAACGTACCGGCGGTAGTCTATTTTGAATAGTTAAAATGCATTTATTATAAAGGAGTGAAGAAAATTTAAAATTATAAAATACAGGCACGTAGTATTGGGGGGGGGGGGGGAGCCAGATTTTTTTTTTTGACAACGTACCTGAAAAAAACCTTGACAAGCAACAATCAAAGTATTGAAAGTACTGAAAGCCGGGCTTTAATATGCTAGAGTATATTGTCTAATCCTAAATTAGTACATATTTGAAAATCTTCCTTTCTGACCATTGATATTTAACAAGTAGAGTTTGTATGATTACGATTAACAATAACCCATCTACCAATAATTAAAATTAACGGTCCAGAACCCAACGTTAAGACCCCAGGATAGGATTTGGTGATATTTTGAATGAAAATACATTTATACCTTTCTAAACATTAAGCTCACAATTGTTATGCATGGTGACAGTGCACTTTGAGTGATTTTGCTGATTCATACAGATTCATAGTATCGGAGGAGCTAGGGGTGTCACCA